AGAGACAGACTGAGGAATGAGGGATATCTTCTTCTTCTTCGTAAAGTCCATGCCGTGTAGCACTGGTAGTCATGTCTATCCATAATCTTGTGTCTCACGTACTTCCAATTAACTCTGACACAGATAATCTTCCATTCCATGATGTCAAACTGTCCAGTTAAGCAATCAGTTCTCTTAGTGAGCCAGTTTCTTTCAAGATGACTTCATTGCTCTTTTTATCTGTTCTGGGAATTCTCATCATTCGTCTATAAGAGAGATACCTACTACAGGGAATTTAAACTAAAGCATTTTTTTCTTTTATGATTTCAAATTTAATTTAAAATGAAAATAATCTGTTTCTGAAGATTACAGAAAACAAAAAATAATAAAATATTCCACACGGGTTCCTGTGCCCATTTTGATAATTCTGAAGGAAAAATATCCGACGCACTTCCCCCTAATAAATTTTTTTTTAAACGGCAACAAATTAAGAGTTTGTTAAAACTGGATCTGTTGGACCAAAAGGCAAAGATATTATAGCCTAGCTGTAAACCGTATAATCAAAGAAAAACAAAGGTGATAAAAAAAATATAAAATAAATAACTATGACATGTAAAATAAAGATTATGTTTCATAGAGCACATTTAAAAAAAAATATGTCACTCAACCCAGGAAACAACTTTTTCGTTAAAATTCTTTACAACGATGTAAAGAAACAACTGCAAGGAAAAACATGATACACACCCAAAAAAAAAAAAAAAAATAGCTTTCATTAATGGTTCTAAGAGATATATGTCAGGCTAGAGTGAAAAAAAAAAGACATGATAGTATCATTAAAAGAGAACAAATGAAAAACAGAGCAATAAAGAGAAGGCTGTCAAAACTTGGTCATGATTTTCTTAGTTGTCCAAATTATAAAGTCATGGAAGGTAAATTTAATAGTAACTGATGAAGAGGCGAGCCAGCAACATAATCACACTGAAGACACAATGCAGCACTGCAGCAAGCAGCAGAAGATAAACAGCACTAGTCAGGCATCATTTCAATGATCCTTACCCGCACAGGACTGCGGGTTACACCTGGCTTTTGCAGCTATTAGGGAAGCCCTAATTATAACTTCTTTAGATGATGAACGGGATATCTGGGAACTACCTTGTTAGTCTGCCTTCTAAACTGAGGTGTCTAATCTCAAGATGGCATGGTAAACCTTCAGGTATTAGCCCAGAAGGGACAAATTGATGATCAATCGATCGAACTATTTAAATCCAGAACAGGAGCTGAACAATTTTTTTTTACAATGTCATGAAAAAATAGCACTGATATTTAAAAAAGACATTAATAATCATTTTTTGGGTCAAATGACCCTTTCACAGGGGTCACCTTAGACCATTGCAAAACATTCATTGAAGTTATGAAGGAAAATAACTGTTTGGGGAGGGGGTGGCCTCAACATGAGGGAACTGTGTTAAAGGGTTGCGGCATTAGGAAGGTTGAAAGCCACTGAATGAAAGCATATATAACAAATAATTGTTTTTAAAAAAACACGTAAACCTACAGCTTTAGAAGAGAGGTTTCAAGAGTATTAAAAATATATACATAGTAAAAGGCAGCACTAGCTGTTTAGTGGCTAAAGGCTCACTTGCCAGCCTGAAAGTCTAGGGTTCAAATCCCCATGTCTTGGGGAAAAGAACAGATTCACGGCCTAACAAACATGTCGAAAAAAGCCTACTACTGAGAGATGTTTACTTTGAAGTCAGAATGCATCTGCCTAAGAGGTCAGGAACCAACAGTCCGCATACAAACAAGCCAGACCTGTAAATTTGATGTGCACGCAAAGCTCTGCAACAAGACCAAAGTCCAGAAGTGGATGAACAACCAGAAATTTCTGCCAGAGTTTACAGTAGGTGAACACTAAGAAGAAGAAGAAGAAGAAGAAGAAGAAGAAGAAGAAGAAGAAGACAACAGTACATTGGTACATGGGGTATGAAGGACACTCTGAGCATGAAAGTTAATGAGACCTGAAAGCTGGCAGGGACTGTCTTTCCAGCATGCTGCGATGATAGAAACATTCTACAAAGGACCTGCTATAAATGATAATGATGATGATGTAATGATCATATCAAGTAATCACAAATAGAGATGACACTGTATACACCATATTTGTTTAAATTCAGTTAACTCTTTCAGATACCAGATGAGTGTTTATTTAACTGCTGAATTCCTAAGCAGTAGCTACCTATACAAAAATAAACAGAGTATTGGTATGCTGAAGAGCACTGTCTGGATCTTTTTTCCGGTGTATGCCAGTTTGTTGGAAAATGAACAGGCAGACATATTGGCTGGCTCTGCACAAACTTGGTGGATTACTGATGCAATATAAGGCAGATGTGGTTAAGGCCTTATGGGAGCACGTGTATAGTTTAGAAAATCATAGTGATAGTCAGTCTGATGACAGTGATGAAGCGAGGAGCGATGACAGGATCTGGCCGATACTCAATGATTAGAGGAAAGGCAAGACGGACACATTTTCAAACTGCTACTGGCACCATTGGTATTGGAACTCTGCGGTGGCTGCTGAAAATGGGTATGAAGCGCTTATGGGTATGCCCTGAATGATGTGATGTCAGTTCTTGAATAAACTCAAATCACAGAGTACTGTTATGAAAAGGTTTAAATTATAATACAATGGGACCAACAGAAACCAAAGTAACAACTGGGAAAGAATAAGTTAAAGCTACATCTGGGTATGGCACATGGTGCTCAGAAAAGCAAACATATTAGGTAATTCCGATTCATGAAAACTATCCCGAACAGTCATGGATACATATTTACACAGATGGATCAGCAACCAGCGCGGTTAAAAATGGGGGTGCTGGAGTCTTTATTACATACCCAGGCAACCACCGCCACACAAAGTGGATACCCACTGGTAAATTCTGTTCCAACTACACAGCAGAGATTGTAGCACTAGAGCAGGCTGCCGAAATGTTACACAACACCAGTTCTGACTGCCACCAAGTGGTTATATTCACAGATGCGCTTTCAGTGCTTCAAGCCCTCAAGAGTGGCAAACTCCCTCACTTGAGATCTAAACTTGGCAAGGTGGCTGCCCAAAAGTGTACTGTACTCCAGTGGGTGCCATCCCACTGTGGTATACCAGGAAACGAAACCGCAGATAAACTTGCTAAAAAAAGGGGCAGAATGTGACCAAGAAGAGAAGCAATGCAGTAACATACTATGAGAAGAAAAGGGCCATCCAGGCTATCAGAAGTGAACAGAGTCTGGCCAGAGATGACTACCACTTACTTGACCGGCATGGGCAGGTCATTGTCCTACGTCTCAGGACAGGACATAACAAACTTAACCAGCATATGCACAGGCTTCGTCTAAGTAGTTCACCTTTTTGCCCTTGTGGGCTATGTGTGCAGACTACAGAACATGTCCTGCAAGACTGTCCCTTGTTCAGCCCATTAAGAAAGGAATACTGGCCCAGTGAGTCACCACTGTACACAAAGTTGTATGGGACTAAAAATGAACTCATTAAAACAGTCAAGTTTATCACAAGAACCTGTCTGTCGGTGTAAATCAGAAAGCGAACACAAGAAGAAGAAGAAGAAGGTAATTCTAATAGATGTGTTCCGGGAAGTAAAGGCGGCCGGCGTGATGCTGACCACATCACCCCTCTTGTGCCGATTGGTCTATAAAAATATAGGTCTAGCCCTATATGCCCTATACGCCTAAAGGCGTGGAAAAGGGTTTTTACTTTACTTACTTACTAATAGTAAAAGAGTTAACAAACTATTTTAAACTTGATTCTTTCAGTCCCAAACAACGCATGATGTGTTACTGATTTTTCCCCAAATGTGTCAAACATCACATCAAGTGTCTTTTTATATTAAAGTTTTGGTGGGTGTATAATGAATAAATCTGGCAATTACAGGAGTATCTTTCATTCATTTATCATTCCCGGAACACGGCACGTGGTTGGAGTCTTCGTGGCAGTATGTAATAAAAAATAATGATTTTTGTAAAAAAAAAACCTTGTGTGACTGAAAGAGTTAATTTTATTATTTAACTTCTTTAATCCTGGAAAACTTTGCAGAAGATGGGTGTCCAAGAAAGACAGTATCCTTAAAGAACAGCTTAAATTTGTTACTGTCATAGTTACAATATATTGTGCTAAAGATTTTTTTTTGTATTTTAATGTGAACATCAAGCAGCAAGTATCCTTCTAGCTACCGTGCTCCTGCAGATCTCATATAATGGTATGGACAAATTTATTTTTTTTATATGAAAAAAGTGTTCATACCAGTGCTGCATCAGGCATTTGGTGCAAACCCATTTTTTATAGATGAATCTGCACTCGATGGGTGATGCAGACAACCTCACACTGGTTGTCTTTACTTCCCATAACTTTTACTGGGTCTATCTAGGAGCCAAGAACAATTATAAACAATCTGATGCAGTGCAGACTCAAACCCAAGACAATGAGGATCTCATAAAGTCACAAAATGGATGGCCACAAAAAACAATAACAAATAATAAACCTTTTAGTGATGGCAATAGCTCTAACAATGAATATTTAAAATGTTACAAATAACAAAACTAAACTCACCATAAACTGCAGCTGAGTTTCAAGACTAAAAAGATATTTCTAAAACTAGAGTTCAAATTATATGGTGAGTATAAACTGCAGACATTTACCACCTAATTGTAAACAAATGGGACAGCACTCTTAACAATCACTGTTTACCAATCATTGTACCAATCACCACAAATGTATCCCAATAAAACTTGTGTTTAGTGAATGTTTAGTAAACACATCTGCCATTTAACATACTGACAGCCAATAATATATTTGGGGATCGACCTATTCAGTAAGTACATGCCTACTTTCAGCTAAAAATCTTAAGATTGACTTGTACGTCAGGTCAGTTTGTAAGTCACAATTTACGGTAACATCATTTAAAACATTGCTTCATTGTTCTAACACAGTTTACACTAGTGAGAGAAAACAACATTCATGCACTACCATTTCCAACAATGACTTCATCTTGGGTAGCACTGAGTGGCTGCCGGGTTTCTTTCTCTTCTACGTTAATTGTTGACGCTATCACAGCCGAACCTAGCCGGCCGTAACGTTTATTAACAAAGTGTCTGTTAAAATTTAAAAGAAAAAGGAAAATAGCACCGACTATTAGTGTTTCTCCAACCAACAGGTAACAGAACCACATGTTGCTGAATTCCTCCATAAGATAGCCAAGAACAAGTGGATTCACCATAGTGCCTACTGACGCAGATACAAGGATGCAGGAAGAGATTGGAGCTGTCACTCTCAACAGCTCCGTCTCGGTAAACAAAAATCCAGCAGGAAAGACAGCAGACATACTTAAACCTGCCAGTGCGGCAAATACTGTTAGTGCCAGTATGTTCCCAGCCACAGCACTAATTATAAAGCTAGAGAATGCAATAACCATGAGAGTGCAACATAAATATAACAACCGAACAGCAGATAGAAATTTTGCTACGAATATCATTAAAAATCGGGACGTCGCAAATGATGCCCAATAAATGGCTGTAATATGAGCACCTTCGACTTTTGTCACATCAGTGTACTCTCTAACAAGAAATGTCATGAGAAAAGAAGCAAATGTGTCTTCTACGCAACAATACAGAATATAAAATAAACAAAGTGTGAACAAGATGAAAACAAACATGGGCTTTGGTAATTTTCTTTGAGTAATTTTTGCCTCTGTTGCACTTTTTGCCGCTTTCTTACTTATTTTATCAGATAGACAAAATATTAGGAATGGCAATCCGGACAATACTGAAAAGATTCCAGTGATTATAAAAGCGATGTGTACATTTGTTTCTTGGTTACCAACTATAGTCAAATCACCAGTACCATTTGTAACAACGTCACTTCCCAGTGTTGTAACAATGCTGCTGTCATTCAAAATACTGAAATTACCAATGACCAGTTCTGCTATAGAGGAGTTGCCACTTTGAATGGTGCTATTTTCATGTTCAGTGGCTTTCTGTGCCAAGAAAGGTGCCGAATATAGTGGGGATATGACACCTCCGAATGCAAAGGCAAAGTGTAAAAACTGCATCAAACCTTGGCCTTCGTTGCCCCATATACGCATCTGTTCAGAATTGCCACCTGAAATAAAGTATAACAGTGTACGCGTTTATGTTTATACGTGTGTGTGTGTATGTATATATGTATATACCATGTCCCCCCCCCACCCAAAAAAAAAAAACCAATAACCCCTTAATAACTCTGTCAAAAATCATCTGATTATTATAAAAATTGATACAAAAGATTTAAAAAAAATTAACCTACATATTGCTTAAATAAATTTGTTCTCAAAATATACACCACCAGCTATATCACAAGTATCTAGCCGGATCTGCCACTTTTTCACTGCCACATTTATGAGGCCATAGACTAGCTCACAGTCCATTTTTGACTGCTGCCTTTCCGAAAAAGTGTATGGAATAACGGGTGGCTATAGCCTAGGAGAAAAGAATGTGGGAGGTGATTAATAGCATGGGCTGAGTCACGCAGCATGATAAAAGGTAACACCTGGTTTAAACACCATCCTCAAAGATTGTGGACTTGGAAAAGTCCTGGTGATAATGTCCGCAATCAGATTGATTATATTTTGATTTCAAGAAGATTCAGGAGCAGCTTAGTTGGAGCAAAAACTAGACCTGGAGCAGACTGCTTTAGTGACCATGTTCCAGTTGTAGGAAAAATTAGAATAAAACTAAAGAACATTAGAAAAACACCACAGAACATCAAGTTAAATTTACGAATTCTTAGAACGGATAAAGAAATTAAGGACCAGTACAATGTCACTGTACAAAACCGGTGTAATGCAATGGAAATTATACAGACTATTGATGAACAGTGGGATATGTTGCGTGAGTCAATTCAGCAGACATCTAAAGAGACAATCCCACCAACCCATAGAGTTGCAAAAAAGAAATGGATGTCAACCGAAATTCTGCAGTTGATGGATGAAAGAAGGAAGAAAAAGAATGAAAAAGAAGAATACTCTAGAATACAAAAAGAAATAGTGAACAAATGCAAAGTGGCAAAGAAGCCTGGCAATCAAATGTGTACAGAGATTGGGGAAAACAACAGGAAAGACTCACATTCCATGTACCAAAAGATGAATATGTTAACAGGAAAGATGACATGTAACAGCACAGGATGTTTGAAATCAAAAGATGGTGTAATGACCCTGCTTTGCATGGTCTCCACGAGTACATTGTGGCCAGCAGAAAGTCCGTGCTACAAGTGACAGCACAAGATACTTGTGGCTAGTCGAGTAAGCGAGGGGAAGCCCTAGCTAGACTCGTGTTCAGTCGATCATCAGAAGTCAGGGAAGACGGTTGTGGTAATTGAAGATGTAGTCTTTATGTCGTGCGTGTGACCAGTATTAGAATATGTCGTGAGCGATAGTAGTCTGAATAGTTGTGGAAACATGTGGAATATATGTGATTGAATAAACTGACAGCATGTACAAAGAAGCTGAGCGGGGTTGTGTTATTAAACCTAGACGTGAGAGCAGTGTGAATTAATCATCCAGAGAGTGAGCCATGGCGAGAGGAGATTTGTCGCAAGACAAGGTGCATTTCAAGTGACGGTAGAAAGCCACGCTTTATTCCAAGTCAAGCCACGACTCATTCCAAGTGGGGAGCTTGTCCGAAGGAAATTCGAAAACCTCGTGGACCACAATCATAGGAAAACATATTGTTTCTTTCAAGAATGACTTAAACAATTCAATTTGAAATGTTTTAGCAAGATTACACAGCACAGGGACATGGTAAAGTTGTCCACGACACCCAAGATTATAACTGCTATAGTTATACTGATGCTGACTAGATAGACTGATGGTAAAGAAAGAGTGCACACATCAAAGCACAAGCACAGTAGAGGAGTTGAACTCACCTGTGTCCATCTAAAGGGGGAAAGGTGCTTGGGACTCCTTGGAGTTAACGACTCTGTTAAAGGTGATGAAGAGACTGGTGGGGAAACCCTAAACTCTATTAAAAAATATCCCAATAGTCATTGTTTCATGAGATTCCTTGGGGTTAACTACCCTGGTAAAGGTTATATAGACTTGGGGGAAACTCTAAAATCTATGAATATGTCTCAACTTTCATTGTTTTCATGTTGGATTCCTTGGGGTTGGGTAATTACCCTGTGAAAGGTGAAGTAGACTATGTCTATGAAAAATATATCCCAACATGCATTTTTTTGTGTGGTAGATTCCTTGGGGTTGGGTAATTACCCTGTAAAAGGTGTTATAGAGGCTTTTTGGGAAACCGGAAGCACTATGATAAATATATCTCACCACTATCATATCGGCTAAGAGTCCTTGGGGATGAATATCCTGTAAAAGGTGATGTAGAAATATTGGTTTAATTCAATTTTCTATGTAGTAAATATCTCAAAGCTGACCATCATCATCACCATCATCACAATGATTATCATTCCACATGAACCTGATAGAATAGATATAGTGACGAAGCTATAACTACAGATGCAATAGGTGCAAAAGATAAGATACCCTTCACCAGATCAGTACTTGAAAAAGCATACAGTAAAAAGTTAAAACCAAGGGCAGTAATTTAGGGTAATTAGGAACAGTAATCCTGAAAAGCGCAGTTAAAGTGCCATTTAACAGTTGAATGGAAAATGATACTTGATGTTCCATAAAGTATCATTTTGTTAAGAAGGGGGGAGGATGTAATGACCCTGCTTTGCATGGTCTCCACGAGTACATTGTGGCCAGCAGGAAGTCCGTGCTACAAGTGACAGCACGAGAAACTTGTGGCTAGTCGAGTAAGCGAGGGGAAGGCCGAGCTAGACTCGTGGTCAGTCGATCATCAGAAGTCAGGGAAGACGGTTGTGGTAATTGAAGATGTAGTCTTTATGTCGTGCGTGTGACCAGTATTAGAATATGTCGTGAGCGATAGTAGTCTGAATAGTTGTGAAAACATGTGGAACATATGTGACTGAATAAACTGACAGCATGTACAAAGAAGCTGAGCGGCGTTGTGTTATTAAACCTAGACGTGAGAGCAGTGTGAATTAATCATCCAGAGAGTGAGCCATGGCGAGAGGAGATTTGTCGCAAGACAAGGTGCATTTCAAGTGACGGTAGAAAGCCACGCTTTATTCCAAGTCAAGCCACGACTCATTCCAGATGGTGACTTATTAATGGGACATAGTAATATAATTAACAGATGGACAGAGTATATAGGGGAATTGTATGATGATAATTGACCAGATGTAGAACTGCAGACCAACAATGATGGTCCACCAATAATGACTGCAGAAGTTAAGGATGCAATACATCATATGAAGAAAGGAAAAGCACCCGGGCCAGACAACATCTCACTGGAAGAAATCGAAGCACTGGGAGATTTTGGAATTGAAATAATAACTAAACTTTTAAATGATATTTATAATAGTAGGTATATTCCAAATTACCTTTTAAAATCCATATTTATAGCTCTGCCTAAGAAACCAGGCACTATAAAATGTGAAGACCATAGCACAATAAGTCTTTTGAGTCACATGACTAAGTTTTTACTGAGAATAATTATGAGAAGAATAAGAAACAAAATTAAACCAGAAATCAGCGATGAACAATGTGGATTTGTAGAAGGAAAAGGTACAAACAATGCCATATACATCCTAAGGACATTGTCAGAAAGAGCTATAGAAGTAAGGACTGATTTGTACATATGCTTTATAGACTATACAAAAGCATTTGACTGTGTGAAGCATGAAGAAGTAATCAAACTGTTAGAAAAATTAAACATTGATGGGAAAGATCTACAAATAATAAAGAATATGTATTGGCAGCAAACCGCAGCTATAAAAATTAACAACTGTTTAGGTACATTTCAAAGCATAAAGAGGGGCGTACGACAAGGATGTGTACTGTCACCTGATTTGTTTTCAATATACAGTGAATATATAATGACAGCTTTAATTGGTATGCCCAGAAATGTGGTTTTTTGGGCACAATATAAACAATTTACGTTATGCTGATGACACAGTCTTGATAGCAACAAGTCAGAAAGAACTACAGGATATGATAGACATTGTGGTGTTAGAAAGTGGAAGAATGGGCCTCAGTTTGAATAATAGGAAGACAGAAGTAATGGTGGTATCAAAGAAATGAATTATTCCTAAGTGTGTAATAAAAGTTGATGGTGTTATTTTAGGACAAGTACAGAAATTTAAGTATCTGGGCACATGGATAACATCAGATGGAAGATGCATAACTGAGATAAGAAACAGAATAGGACAGGCAAAAACTGCATTTTATAAAATGAAAAACATCTTGTGCAATATATCCTTGTCATTGAGAGAAAAAGAATTCTTGCTTGCTACATACATCCAGTTTTAACATATGGCTGTGAATCCTGGACCATCGGTAGGCAGGCCAAACAATTTCTGGAGGCCTCAGAGATGTGGTTTTACAGAAGAATGCTTAGAATACCTTGGACAGCCAAAAAGAGCAACCAAGAGGTTTTGAAAGAGGCGGGAGCCCGAAGACAACTTATCACAGACATCAGAAGGAGACATCAATTTTCGGCCATGTTATGAGAAGAGGGAAAATAGAACATTTGTGACCACTGGAAAGATATGTGGAAAGAGAGATAGAGGAAGACAACGAGAGAAGATGCTTGACAGTCTTGTTGCATGGCATGGAGGTGTGTCGGCACACGAACTGATACATGCTGCAGGAGATCGCGCAGATTATGGAGAGGCATGATCGCCCACGGCAGTCGGCAAGGCACCTGATGATGATGATAATGATGGAAGTCTGCCTAAACTTCATCCTTTGTTTGAAAATTCCTTAGGAGTTCGATTTTGCACAATAATAGTTTAGTTTTTTTTTCAAAGACATTTTATCACAATTTTATCTTCATCAGTGAACACCCTTTTGAAATAGACGAATTAACAATGGTGCAGCTGTGGTACAATCCCACCTACAGGCCCAGAAATGCACAGTAACAGGAAATTCATGGCATGATGTGCAATTCTAAAAGAAAGCATTCTCCTTACCATTTGTACCAATTTTGGTAATATGTGGATTATTTTTGACCAGTTAATTTTAAGTATATACAGGTTATTGATTTTTTGGGGGAACATGGTGTATATAATCATCAAGTGTCTTAATAACTAGAGTGCTTGATCATGCTTCTTCCTTGTGTGCTGACATGCCACAAAAATTTCACCTGACTGAGTGCAACTGAATCCCATTAGGACAGAACTCAGAGTGATTAACACCCTGCATCATTATTGGGATGTAAAATCCCCCAGGTCAAGTCCCTGAACCCTGTTCAACGTAAGGTCTTATTGGGGTTCCTGATGGTTACAAAGTAACCTGAAGCCCAGCCGGGGTCTGGGTCGTAACATCCACACACAAAAATATGTCCCATGAAGGGACAAGTATGACAATAATAAACACAATGTAAAGATGTTTGGCTGATTTTATTCCAAAGTGAGTGATGTTCAACCCCACCAGGACCGGCACATGAGCGACTTACACCCGGTAACACATAGTGCCACCATTCGGATGAGAATCCCCCAGGTGCAAGTCCCAAAACCCCGTTCAACCATTAGGTTATATAAGGGCCCCAGACAACACCCCAAAAATAAAAGGGGAGGGGGAAGAGATAAAATAACAAAAAATTGCATCACATGTTGGGGTGGAGTTGTTATTATTATTATATTCCTCAATCTCCCATTCCATTCATCTTGCCAACTAAAAAAAAAAAAAATTCACAACCAACCAAAGAAGCATATACACCAACACTAAATATAAACTCCAAGACACATAGAGCAAAGAGCACTCCTCAACTTACATGTGTCCACAAAACCTGCAGTAACTCCACCAGCAAACTTAATGAATATCATCAGGCCATAAGGTTTGCAATAGGCTGTGAGAATTGCAACGATACCCATACCCAATGTTCCACTGAACATCAAACCATTTTTGTTCAACTGGGGAAAAAAGACATTACAGATTACTATAATGTCTGTCAACATAACTTACAGTGTGGTGGCAACCATTCTGTCTGTCAGCATGACTTAACAGTAGTGGCAGTGCATATAGTGAATTAGAATACTATGGGTAGAAGATGCATGTCTTCCACTGTTCTATACAGTTTTGTTTCCACTCAATGCAAACTGGCCAAACCTGGGATCTTTATACTGCACTGTTCAGTATTCTGTGGTGCACGCAGACAGCAAGTCTGTAGCACAGGTTAGGCGTTCTGTGGTACATGTAGACAGCATATATGTAGCACATGTTGGGTATTCTGTGGTGCAAGCAACAGCATGTTGTAGCACATGTTAGGTATTCTGTGATTCATGCAGACAGCATGTCTGTAGCACTGGTTAAGTATTCTTTGGTGCAAGCAGATAGCATGTCTGTAGCACAGGTTAGGTATTCTTTGGTGCAAGCAGACAGCATGTCTGTAGCACAGGTTAGGTATTCTTTGGTGCAAGCAGACAGCATGTCTGTAGCACAGGTTAGGTATTCTTTGGTGCAAGCAGACAGCATGTCTGTAGCGCAGGTTAGGTATTCTGTGGTGCAAGCAGACAGCATGTCTGTAGCTCAGGTTCTGTATTCTGTGGTGTTTGTCCACAAGGGCAAAGTTCTGAATCCCTAAACTTGAATTTCTTGTACATATGGCTGCAGAGTCTGTTGTGTCAAAAAGGCAATCTACACATGGTCTGTATTTGTTTTATGTGTCGAGGTCTATCAGGTTTTTAGGATTGTGTCCTGGAACGGAAGTCTTCCAATGGGTTTTAACTGCTGCCTTTTAGTTTCCTCATTAGTGCATCCTGCATCTGACTGTTCTGCATGACTTGCATTTTTTGCTAAGTAGTCTGCACTTTTATTTACCTTAATGTTGACGTGGCCTGGCATCTACGGGAGCACAGTCTGCTTAGCTGACACATTGGATTTAAAATAGATCTAAGCTTGTTTATCATTCTGTACTGCTTGCAATAATGAGTGAACATCGGTCAGTAAGTAAGTAAAAGACCCTTTTCCAAGCCTTGTCATGTGCTGGGCATATAGGGCTAGACCTATATTTCACTGAACAATCGGCACTTAGTGAGTGATGTAGTCAGCATAGTGGCGGCCATATTTACTTCCCAGGACTTGTAGCTGGTACCCATTCAAGGCTGTGTCGACCTGGGAGCTAAGATCTTCTTTAAAAAAAGTACGGCTCCATCAGCATCTGAACCCACTACCTCCCGATTTGCAGTTGAGCGTCTAGCTGCTACACCACAGGGGTTTCCACATCTGTTAGTATAAGCATGGAAACCACGATATGGAAATGTGTCCGTTAATTATTTTTATCACTCGTACGATAAGTATTATTTTAACTCCTTGTGACCGACATTTACCTTCCTTAAAGTAATGTTGGCCTAGAACCCAGCACTTTGGTCAAACCCAATTATGCTCTGCCTCCCTCACAAACAGTCATACAGTGTAGACAGATGATAATCATTTCAGCAACAGAGTAGTTGTAAAAATAACTGAATGTAGTGTGGATCAGAAATAAATGTGAAGGATCAGAAAGAAATGTGAAGGATCAGAAAGAAATGTGAAGGATCAGAAAGAAATGTGAAGGATCAGAAAGAAATGCGATGGATAAGAAAGAAATGTGAAGGATCAGAAATAAATATGAAGGAACAGAAAGAAATGTGAAGGATCAGAAAGAAATGTGAAGGATCAGAAAGAAATGTGAAGGATCAGAAAGAAATGTGAAGGATCAGAAATAAATATGAAGGAACAGAAAGAAATGTGAAGGATCAGAAAGAAATGTAAATGATCAGAATGAAATGTGATGGATCAGAAAGAAATGTGGTGGATAAGAAAGAAATGCGAAGGTTCAAAAAGAAATGTGATGGATCAGAAAGAAATGTGAAGGATCAGAAAAAAATGTGAAAGATCAGAAAGAAAAGTGAAGGATGAGAAATTAATGAAAGATCAGAAAGAAACATTAAATGCTGAATTAAGAATCAACATCCCAGTACTTGGGACACCCCAATAAGAGCACTATCCCGATCTTTCGCAGCAAGCAGAGAGTTCCAATTTGGATGGTAACAGTAACTGTCTGACTGTGCCTTTTCCTTGAATGTTCAGTGTTGGCCTGATCCCTTGGTAACTCCCAGCAGTGCCATTCTTCTCAGATCGTAATAATCTATTTGTGCCTCCGCACTGTTCACTCACTCCCAAAGGCCCTCACAACATCTAGCTTGTCATACATCAATTCACCACCAAGCTGTACAGAATTGGCCAGTCTATTTGCTCATTTCTCAACACACCAACATAACCTGGAGAAAATATCCAAAGGATGATAACTACCTAGGACCTCTGAAGTAAAGCCTGCCACTCTACACAGAGCATGCCTGTCTCCACCTTTCTCAACAAGCTCTGTTAGTTGGTTACAATCATGGCATGAGTGTACAGCTGATTCTTAAGCCAGCGGAAGGCAGAAATGACTGCCTCCACCGCCATTCTCAAATTAGACACTGTGATATCATATGCCAGACTTTGTTGCACTAAGCTACGTCCATTTGTATTTTTCTATGAACCCCAATGCATTTTGTCTGTCCCTTAAAACAGAACCATCTATAAAGATAATCACATCACTGGGTGGAATGTTCATAAATTCATTTGTTGAACCTCTGATTCTGCAGCACCAGCTAGCTAGTCCCTGTACTCACGACCTAAAGTTATAAGAACCCAACACAAGTCTGAAACTTGCTCGGACACTGACTTTCAAAAAGAAATGTGAAGGATTAGAAATTAATGAAGGATCAGAAAGAAATGTACAAGATCAGAAATTAATGAAGGATCAGAAAGAAATGTACAAGATCAGAAAGAAATGAGAAGGATCAGAAATTAATGAAGGATTAGAAATAAATGTGATGGATCAGAAAGGAATGTAACAGACCAGAAAGGAATGTGACAGATCAGAAAGGAATGTGATGAATAAGAAAGGAAATGCTTCTTCTTCAACATGATATGTCTTTCACTGCAGCAAATATCACTTGTCTTTATCACCGGTGTAATTAGCCTTCTCTTTCCAGTTGGTGTTAGAAAGGAGTGTGATAGAGTTTTAAAAAAAAAAGGAATGTGCTGAACACAGTAACAAACGTCTGAACACTAACACAAGTGAAGATCCATGCTTGGCACTGAATGGGTAAACACAATGGCTGCATATGTCAACTGTGTGATGACATGTGGTGACATGTGAATCAAATGTTTCTGTCAGCTTGCTGATGCACAATGGAGGGTTCCTTTGTCATGGCATAACTGTGCCAGCTAAAAATTATTAACACTGTGACATTATTATGTTTTCCCTCCACAGATGTGAGGACTAACTGGTGTCTTTATAGTTAAGGGCAGAAGTAAATTATGTTCATCATTATCAATAGTGCTAGCAAAATATATTTGTAGGTAATTACATGGATAACAGAAGCAACAGTAATACAGAAGCTAGATGTATGAGTGCCAGACAAAATATCTTGTGCTCAAATCCACAATAAGGCATATTTTTATAGTTGACCTAGGATTCCCAGTTGAACCAAATCTAAAATCGGTACCAAAAAATCTCCTGGAAAGTAAAAGTAGCTGTGTGATGTTGACTTTATCAGCCAGTGAGTGCTGACTGGTCTAACAAATCTGAGTCCAGAACTACAGACCTAATGCACCACTGGCTATTTACTTATTTACTTACTATTCACATAGACAAAGAACATTGCTCTGTGTCCACCATGAATGGAATAATTTCCTTTTTATGTGGGTTCTGGGCCCCATTTTGGGGGCAGAAAGAACAGACCAACTGCTCCCCTAAACAAAAGCATGTTGTAAAACGCGACCAATTAGGGGCGTTTCCTTCAAAGTCATAGTGCATCTGCCTGATAAGTGAGGAACACACAAAAAAGCCAGATCCATGAACTGATTGTGCGTGCAAAAGTTAAGCTCTGGAACAAGACCAAAGTCCAGAAGTGGTTGAAAAACCAGAAATTTTACAGCCAGTGTAAATGCGATGAAGCAGAAGTTTACTTTCTCTACTGTTAACTTTGTTTCTGAAAACACTGAGGTACATACTAAAAAGCCAGATCAGTGAACTGGATGTGCATGCTAAAGTAAAGCTCTGAAACAATACCAAAGTCCAGAAGTGGTTGAAAAACCAGAAATTCTACAGCCAGTGTAAATGCGATGAATAAGAAGAATCACTTTCTCTACTGTTAACTGTTTCTGAAAACAGCTCTTATTCTCTTTCTCCAGTTACCACCTTGCTGAAGTGTTGAGAGAGATGTAAGAAGTTTCTGGGTACTTTTTCTTGGCTGTACAAGGTCATCATCTTTATAAGGCTTTTCTTCATGCTGTAATTCTGTCCTTTGTGTGGTCTTTCCCTTGCCCTGTCTCTATTATATTTCTTCAGTATGGCTCTCTGTGGCAGTTGGTACCAGTGCATTCTTTTCAGATAACCAAACCGTCTTGTATATTGCTCTTTACTGAACAGTATGATCGGTTTAAACCTTTTGTAATGTCTTTATTTTTAATCCCATCCCTTCTTTTCACTCTGTTAATTAAAGTTAGTTGTGTATTCTTTACAGGGCATTGCAGAACCAGCTCCAGCATTGACTGTTGTGGTTTTTCTAGGCAAATTTACGTCCAGGATTTGCCATTACTTTTTTTGACGGTGGGCGTCTCAACACCACTGTTGGAACCAATGCAAGGCCCGCAGCTGAGATCAAACCCAGCATCCCGGCATTACAAAGCGCATGTGCAACACCTTAGCCACCGACGCCGACTTTTAACTCTGGCAACTCTTATAAAATATATCAGTTCTACTGTTATGACTGCTGGCTCATTAGCTGTGGTAAGGGCTCAAGTCTGAAACTGTTGGCATAAAGTTGGCTAAATGTAGTCATTAGAGTTTCAGAAAACACCACAGATAATGAATATAACACTGTCACCAACAAATATGGAGCCACTTACTCTACTGTAAATTGTCCCAGCTGTGATGGAACCAGTCAAGTAGCCAATGGAGGCACCAGTGAAGAAAGCTGAAGCCTGTTCCAAATCTGTGTTGGTGATAATCTGAAGGTCTAAGAATGTGGGCCCATTTTGTCCAACAACCATGCCCTGAAAATGAATGAGTTAACATATTCTTATATTCATGACTGAGGTACCAGATAACATTAGTCGGTACTACCTGTCCTCCGTTAATGCTGAATTTTGGGTGGCATATACCAAACCTCACATCCCACATTGTTCCAATAGCTTTAGACAAAGGAGTGCATTGGAGACGATACTAGCCTTATCCAAGGAAGAAAAAACTTAATGCTCTGCGAGGACAGAGCAGGTCCTTAACCTCAGTTGGCACCTGATCAATGAGGATACCTTTAATAGACAAACAGACAACACTTCTGATCCAGCAGCTTCTGCAGGAGCCTGCTTTGTTCCAAATGTATCAGTGTAACTTTTCTCTAGAATAAACAAGGCAGGCCAAGACAGTGATCAAGCTGCATTACATGGTCCCCCAGACTCTGTGTTATACAGAGGTGAAACTTCTAACATGGTCTCTACAATACTGCCCAGACTGTTTTATAGAGAGGTGAAACTTCTAATATGGTCTCTACAAATCTGCCCAGACTGTGTTATGGATAGGAGAAACTTCATCTCTGGGTCTTAAGTGGCTGTGACTCTCGTCATCATCATCATCAGGTGCCTTGCTGACTGGCGTGGGCGATTATGCCTCTCCATAACCCACAATCTCCTGCAGCATGTATCAGTTCATGTGCCGACACATCTCCATGTGCTGCAACAAGATTGTCAAGAATCTTCTCTCGTTGTCTTCCTCTATCCCTCCTTCCACAGATCTTTCCAGTGGTCACAACATGACTCCCATGCCTCTCTCAATACAGCCTACTTGTCTGCCTAGTTAATTCCCTAACATTTACAACTTGGTAAGTCTATGACCCAAAATATTAACATGAGAGTAAACTGAGATGTGACAATTATTCTGCATTAAAACATTAAAATCACAACTGCTTTTATGAAAAATTCATATTGGGGAACCTGAGGTGACTTTTTTTGTTTTAAACTTATAAATCATTGAAGCATGGAGTTAAAGTATAATTCACTGGTGTTGTTTTTCTTTTTCTAAAGTGTTCACCAGCCATAAACTTTAGTGGAAAGTTCTGGCTGTTTGTCCACTTCTGGACTCTGCTCTTGTTTCAGGACTTGAGTTTTGCGTGCAGATCGACTTATTTGTATGCAGACTGTTGGCTCATTACATCTCAAGCAAATATACTCCCACTTCAGAGGAAACATCCCTAACCAGTAGCCTTTTATTTGTATGGGTGGTAGGTTTATACCCCCACCCCTTCCCGTCCACCCCCATAAAGGGCCCCAGGAACCTATATGGAGAATAATTTATTCAAATCTTCAAAGTTTTTTTTCAAATGTATAATTCATACATTAGTTAATTTTTTTTGCACAAAGGCAGTTTAGCTTTAAGTTAAAATGGAGTAACAATTATGTGTAGAAAAAAGACAGAAAAGACGATTAATTTTAAAAAAAAAACAGGAGGAAACAAAACAAAAAGGAAATGCTGGAGTTGTAGAAGCAGTGGAAGCAGGAGGGGGAGACAGAAAAGTAGGAGGGAGAGACAGAAAAGCAGAAGGGGGAGACAGAAAAGCAGGGGGTGGGGGAGACAGAAAAGCAGGAGGGGGAGACAAAAGCAGGAGGGGAAGAACGAAAAACAGGAGGGGAGACACAAAAGCAGGAAGGGGGGGGGACAGAAAAATGGGAGGGTAAAAAGCAGGAAGAAACATGAAGAGAATGAGGAAAAGAAGAAGGTAGAAGAAGGGGAAAAAAAGAAGAAAAAAGATAAGGAGGAGGAGAAAGAGAAAAATAAGAAGAACAATTTTGCCTACAGACATTTAATTTACTACCTTTAAGACAAAAAACGGATTTTTCCCATTTATCAATAACATACTGTTTAATGTCTAACAGTATGTTATTGATAAATGGGAAAAATAACATACTGTTTAATGTCTAACAGAGAATGGAAATAAAGCATGGACTTTAGTTAAAAACCTCTCCGGAGAAAGTAGAAGGGTGAACCCAAAACCAGTGACAGATGGGAGTAAGACAATCACTGAAGACAAGAAGAAAGCAGAACATTTCAATCATTATTTTGCCTCGGTTAACAGAGCAGGTAAGCTGTCAGAACTCGATAGAACACAGCTCTCTCAGTTGAAGAAACAAGAGAGAGCTCCAACAGCCAGCGACTCCCTTTTTGAAAATGAATTTAGCATGGATGAATTAGAGCAAGCCCTGAAAGAAATTAAAACCTAAAATCTCCAGGCCCAGATAAGATCCACAACGAAATGCTGCTACATCTTGGCCGGTCTGGGAGAGAAGTAGTTCTCAGGCTTATTAATAAAACTTGGAGGTCAAGCAAACTTCCAAGGGCATGGAGGAATGCATATATCGTCCCCATCCTTAAAACCAAAAAGCCTCCAGATGACCCCAAAAGCTACCGCCCGATATCCTTAACATCATGCTTGGGCAAAGTTGCAGAAAGAATGATAAACAGGCGCTTATATTGGTTCCTTGAGAGTTCTGGTGTTCTATGCCATGAACACGGCAGGCTTCAGAACCAACAGCTGCACAGAAGACCAGCTGTTCAGACTGACACAAAGAATACATGATGGCTTCCAGAATAAGAAACACACAGTGGCAGTCTTTGTCGACCTCCAGCAGGCCTATGACAGAGTATGGAGAAAAGGTCTCCTGATGAAGATGATGAGCATAGGAATACATGGCAGATTGTATAACTGGGTGAAATACTTCCTGATAGATAGAACAATCCAGACTAAGATGCACAACGCAATCTCTTCTAAAGAAGTCTTGGAGGAGGGCTTGCCACAAGGCTCATCATTGAGCTGTACACTATTCCTAATCTTTATCAATGACCTGCCAGAACAAATCAAGGCCGAAAAAGCCTTGTACGCTGATGACCTAGCAATATGGCAGAGTCATGAAAATGTGGAAAGTGGAGCCCAAAGACTGAATGGAGACCTTAGAAGACTGCATGATTACTGCCAAAGATGGAAACTCAAGATTAACTGTGCAAAGACGGTCTACACAATCTTTACCAAAAGCCACCAAGTAGCAAGGAATAATATTAACCTGAGGTTAGACAAACACCCAAGTGATGAAAGAAGAGCATCCCACATACCTTGGAGTCACACTTGACCCGCAGCTCAGCCTCAAGAACCATATTGAAAACATCAGGAATAAGGCATTGAGGGCGGTTACAGTTATTAAAGAGACTTGCAGGTACATCATGGGGATCAGACAAGGAAACTCTGAGGGGCTTATACCTAGGATATGTTCGCTCTGTGATAGAGTACAACAACTCACTGCTTACAACTTGTTCCAAAACTAACCTAGAGACTCTTGACAGAGTACAAAATAATGCCCTCCGATTAATCTGCGGAGCTATGCAGTCTACACCAACTGCTGCATGTGAAATCCATACAAATGTGGAACCCCTCGGGTTGCGGAGAGAAAAAGCCACTTTAGAAATTTATGAAAGATGCGTTAGGAAAAAATCGTAACCCATCCTAATAGACATCTTGTAGAAAACTGGGAATCCAAACAAAGAATAAAGCACAAATCGGTTTTTACACTGTGTAAATGAAATTCAGGACAGATACCACCTCCCAGAAAGACGTCAAGGAATTCAGAATGTTGCAAAAAACCTACCACCACATGCTCGCTTTAAAGCTCCAGAAGTCCAAACTAAATTGGTAGGCGAGGAAACCAAACAGTCCGACCCAATCGCTCTTATGAACTCATCACTAAAGACCGTTGATTCTTACCCCCAAGAATGGATACATGTCTATACTGATGGATCAGCATTTAAAGCTACCATTAAAGCAGGTTACGGAATCTACATAGGTTATCCCGATGGATCTGTTGAAGAGATTTTGATGCATGCGGGGAATTCTGTTCAAACTATGAAGCTGAAATAATTGGCACTGGAAACAGCAGTATACCACCTAAAGACTGTAATGGATGTTTACCCCTCAAAGGTCCAAAATATTGTCATCTTCACAGATTCAATGTCTGCCCTTCAAGCTCTGGAGGGCAATGAACGCTGCAGAACTGACATAGCCAAGATAATCCTGGATGCCGATCATCTTATTACCTCATACAACATCAGAATAGTGATGCAGTGGATTCCAGGTCACTCCGGCACACCAGGTAATGACAGAGCTGACAGATTGGCAAAGAAAGGAGCAACACAAGAACAACCACCTACAGCGACAACCCTCCAGACAGCAAAACACTGATAAGAGCTATAAACAAAGAGACTTGGTTGAACAGATGGGCCCATGGGAGACACTGGAAGAGAGGTTTATAGACATATGTCTCTGGCCCTGATCCTAATGACAGCATTAACCATCTAACAGAAGGGACCAGGCCACCATCTTCAGACTTAGAACGCAACATACTCCACTCAATGGACACCTAAACAGAATACAGCCACAACACTCCCCAGAGTGCCAGCTATGTAACTACCCCTACGAAACTGTTGAAACACCATCTCTTTTGAGTGCCCAAAACTCAGTGAGACAAGAAGAAGAACGCTACTCCCTCCGAGACCAGACAAGTGGAACACCTTGTACGGAGGAAAAGAACAGCTTGTGAAAACATGCAAATTCCACTACATGGCATTGGGCCAAAGGGCGAAAGCTCATGCGCCGCTGGATCGATAACAACAACAACAATGTCTAACAGAACACTAAAACATTGGGATTACATATGTTGTAGCTGCCTAGTCCCTATTTCAAATAAAAAGCAAACAATCTTCACCTGCAAATAATGTCAGGTGAAAGCTAACAACAATTTATTCACTCAATAAAACTTGTTTTAAAGCCAATTTACTTTTCAAGCAAGCTATAATTATTTTATTGTTAATTCAAGTTACGCTTCAGTGACTTTCACATGCTGGATAGGTTTTGCATGCTTGAGTGAATAACATTAAGACAGACAGAAAAAGATACAGAGTTGTTGAACTAAATATGCTGGTGCACCAGAACCAGAGCTCATACTGGTGAAAACTTTTCTACACCAAAAGCATTTATCAGCTAATGTGCTCCCCCCCCCCCCCCCCCCCTTTTCTCCTTTCATGCCATGAGAAAAGGTTGTAAAGGATCTAACTGTATCACCTTTCACCATCTTTCTCTCCACAAATCTTTCCAGCAGTCACAACATACTCGTTTCCCTCATCTCAGAGCATATCCAAAAAATAAAGACTGTCTCCTTCTCATATTTGTGATAAGCTGTCTTTGGGCCCTTGCTTCTTTCAAAACACTACATTACTCATTTTTGGCTATCCTAGGAATGTTATGTCATATGGCAAGGGCTCTTTGAGCTCCTTTGGGAGCAAGTGAACAGTGTGGAGGCGTGGATAGATCATTACGGTCTAAGGAGAATGGCGCTGTGAAGAGTTACCAGGGGATCTGGCCGACGCTCAACACTAAGGGAAAGGATGAGACGGATATACAATCAGACGGTTACTAGTATTGAATTGGAACTTGCTGCTGAAGATGGGGGACTGTGCATTTATGGGAGTGTCCCCAGAGTGCTGTGATGTCGATTCTTAATTCAACATTCAGCATTCTTCGAGGTCATGTGACAGTCATTGCCTCAAATTCTTATTTCTAGAATCCATGCTTGTAAAGTATCAGTCAGAGTCTATATACATTGACTTGCATTTGTATGTGTCCATACTTCAATGGAGAAACTTACCAATGCAATGAATGTCAGCCCCAGGTACATTGTATGCATTACTTTACTGCGGTATCCATGGTTTTTCAATCGCTGCCTCAGGCTAAGGTTTTCCATGTTGTGCCTATCTACCGATGCCTCTGGAACAACTTTTGTTTCTTCTTGATTAGAATTAAACTCTGCATTCACTTCATTGGCCATTCTAAAGAACACAACACACAGAGATGAAGTAAAAACCAATATCTTTTATCCGCCAAATCAGATATGTTTTTAAAGTAAAGACCTTTACATGCCATAGGTGCATCAGGCATACTGCTTGAGACTACAGCTTCTCCTCGACTTACAATCTATGTGACTCACAACCATCCGCACCTTCCACCATCTGCACTTATGACCATTCGCACTTATGACCATCTGCATTTATGACCACAAAAAATTAATATCAGACTGTATTTTTGGGGGTGGGGAGGGGGGGGGGTGGGGAGCAGGTTCCAGACTACAGCCTCTCCTAAACTTACAATCTCCACAACTTATACCATCCACGCTTACAACCATCCGCACTTATGACCATCCGCACTTATGACCATCTACATTTAGGACCATCTGCACTTCTGACGCTCCACACTTATGACCATCCACACTTATGACCATCCACACTTAAGACCATTCACACTTATGCCACACAAAAAAAGTAATTTGAGAATGCATTTTTGTTTACAATATGTACAACAGAATATATATTAATAAATTTCTATATTATGAACATAATTATTTGTATATAGATTGAACTTGTATGTTTTATGTTCAATTTTTACAACCTGTTTGAATTAATACAGTGTTGAAAAATATGAATTCGACATACGACCAGTATGACTTACAACCTGTTGGTCGGAATGGAGCCTAGTCAATGAGACTGTAACATTTTAACAGACCAATCAGCACTCAGTGGCTAATGTGATCAACATCCTGCCAGCTGGCATTACTTCCCAGGACATTTCCTGGTGCCAATTTTATTCTGGATCAACCTGGTCAAAAGAATTTGTATAAATATCATCTCAATATGGTCTTAAACCCAAAACCTTCATGCCAGCAGGCAAGCATCTAGTCACTTTGCTACTGTTGTGCCCCAGCTAGACATAAGAATATACTGTATTTTTCTGTGCATAAGACAATATGTTTTCCCACATTTTTTAAATTAAAAACTGGTAGTCGTCTTGTACTCCCAATGTGTGTACAGTATTTATTTCTTCAATTTAAGGTAAAAAGAATTAGGGGTCGTCTTGAACACAGAATGTGTTTAAAGAATTTATTTCTTCATTTTAGGCTAAACAAATTAGGGGTCGTCTTGTAGACAGAATGTGTGTAAAGTATTTATTTCTTCATTTTAGGGTACACAAATTAGGGGTAATCTTGTAGACAGAATGTGTGTAAAGTATTTATTTCTTCATTTTAGGGTACACAGATTAGGGGTCGTCTTATAAATGGGTGTGTTATACATGGCAAAATATGACAGTCAGTATTACACCAGCTGCCTCTACTTTCCTAGACACTCAGTCAACGATGCTAGATGCCTACCATGAATGTTGGCTGCAATTAATCTCCAACCCTCTTCTGCCTCTTGCTCTGACAGTACACTCTCTCAGCTGTTGATGATATCCTCTCACTTTTATCACTGTCTCTTTTACTCCCCAGTCTTAACTTCTTCCTCCACGTTTGTTTTTATAATGTTAAAAAAAAAGGTTGCTGTGTATCCTTTACAGGAAGACCCTACTGACCCTAGTATTTGTCGGCAGTTTATAGGCAATTTTTACGTCCAGTAGTTTACCACTGCATCTGAACAGTCAGTTCTTGATAACATTGTTGAAATCAACAAAAAAAGCAGTGTGTGCCAAATCACTCACAGCTGAAATTGAAAGGGTATCTCAGAATGACAAACTGTATTTGCAATCCTAAGCCACGAATGTCAAAATATTTATATTAAATAGTTAAGAATCTTTTGGAAGTTGCAGAGGCGTGGTTTTATAGACGAATGTTAAGAACATCATGGACAGATAAAAAGTGTAATAAAGATGTGTTGAAAGAAATTAACTATCTAAGAGAACTGACTGCTCACAATTGAAGGAAACAATCTAAATTTGTTCGTCATATATTGAATAAGGGTGAACTAAATTACGTAGTGACAACGGGAAAATTAGAGAGAAATAGACACAGAGAGAAACCAAGAGAAAAGCTGCTGGATTGTCTGGTATCATGGCATATAAGACACAACACTGCAAAGACCATGAGAAGAAGAACACAGCATCAACCCATTGACTGGTTGAGTATGATATACATCAGGCCTATTCAATTGATGGCCAGTTAGCCAAATGTGGCCTGCAGAAGGCCTTGCAAGTGGACCATGGATCAATATCAGTTGTATTTTATTAATGATCTTTCTATGCTGAGGCTCGAGCCTCTGGCCCGTGACAATCCCCATTTTCAAAACTCTGACCCCTCAGTAAATTTAGATGAAAAGCCCTGACATACACCCTTCTTTCAGACTCATCATCATCATCATGTAGCAGGTCCTTTGCAGAACGTCGCTCTCATCACAGTCTGCCTGTAAGAAAATTGGTCTCTTGCCAGTTCTCCCGCCTCATGAACTTTCACACTCAAGGAGTCACTTATATCCTGTACTCATCTTCGTGTTGGTCGGCCCCTGCCTCTCCTTCCTGGTACCATGCCTTCTGCTATAATTTTTTTCAATCCGTCGTGGCGCTTGATATGACCAAAATATTTCAGCTTTCGAGAAAAGATGCTGTTTATTAGCCAATCTTCCTTGATGTTCTTTCAGACTACAATTTAAATATTGGTCACATCTGAATTAATAACGTTCCAAATGTAAAATCAAAAACAAATGCTAATGGAATTCAAAACCTATATAATATATCAGGGAATCATCATAAATTATCCATAAACAGAAGCCTGGCTTACACCAATACATTTAAACTGATATAAAATACCCTCATGTTTTGCCTACTACATTACTGCTTAATAATCCTAGTAAGCATTTAATCCTGCAAAAACATCGGCCACCTGCAGCTTTTGAAAAATCCCATAAATGCAAATCTAGGTCATCAGAAACAAGACAGATGCTGCACAATGCAGGCAAGAATGGAAGTCTGTTATTCAGAGACAAGACAGATGCTACACAGTGTAGGCAGGAATGGAAGTCTGTTATCAGGGGCACCTTGAGCCACCCCTCCCTTCACATACACAAAATCTCCCAAAAGAGTGGTAAGTCTCACTGCCCAACAATGTACAGAAGTTCTTAATTCAATATGTTTTTAAAAAAATATACATGTTATCTTATTTCAAATATATTACGATACACTAAAACTCCATTAGAACACAAATTGTTTTTAAAAGAACACTTGACCAACATGAACAAAATAGAATGTTTGTTCCTGCAGGGGTGTGTTAATATCAGTCCTTGGTGAGCAGGGATTTTTTAAAAAGAACTGACTTTTCAGTCACTTGGAATTTGTGTTAACAGTTTTACTGTATTTATTTTCATGCCAGTCAGCACTTATTATTATTAAGCACTTATTTAGGCACCAGTTATAAGAGGATCCATCCCCCTTCCCCCCCCCCCCCCCCAAATGTAAGGGGACTAGAACTCTCTCAAATACCCCCTCTCCCCTCCCCTCTTCTATTTCTATTTTTCTTTGAGTGAAGAATCACTACCATTCAGTATCACACAAAAACTAAATCACTACCATTCAGTATCACACAAAAACTAAGGGTACAGAACAGACACTCAAAGGTCAAAACTGTCATTAAGACATTTTTCTGCCTTTCTAACCCCCAATGGAGCATAGACCCTTAACTCTTTCAGGCCCACACGACGGTGTGAGCGTTGTTTGAGAGGGTTCCGTTTTTCCCAAACAACAGTGTCATCGTCACTCATGAGTCCCTTATATTTTGCTTCGCACGCGGCTTCGTACTAGTTTCTAATGTTTTGAGGTACGATTAAACTATTCAGGGAAAGTCACTTTGCCAAAATCCTTTTAGTTTCATTTCCTGGACTAAACCACACGTGGATAATTTGAGAGAAAACACACCGAAATTTTTTTTTTAGCAGTTCATTTTCTAAGTTCGTTTTTGAGTGCCATGAATACCAATGTTCCAACTACAAGTACAGGTCGCAGAATGCGTCTTTCTGCTGCCGAAGCTCTGAAATTGTTTCAGTCAGATGTTCTTAATTGTGATAATGATAATAAACATTTAGATTTTTCGGAAAGTGATTCGGACAGTGAATTTTCACCAGTGAAGCTAAGCGATCAGCTGTTCTGAATCTAGCGATTCTGATGAGTTTATTACACAGACAATGTCCCATACTACCGTATTTATGGTGTAAGAGAAGGAAAGTGCTCTAAACAAAGAGACAGTACTATACTATGGCTAAGCTACACTAAAATTATCGCAGTTACAGTCTGTAAATAACTGTACAAAGTAAATAGTAAATATAGTGTGTGTAATGGCTTATTTTTCTGCCATTTTTTCTCTGAAATTTTGCTCAGCACTCTGTGAGAACTAAGAGCTCCTGAGTGCTAAACTTACCCAGAAAGTTATTATAACTTTGGAATATGTTAGGAAATTGAACAAACTATGAAGTTTTGTTCTCAAATTTGGATATTTACTACTCTTGTGGCTGCAAAACCATGGTAAGTGAAGAATTTTTTTGTTAAATGTTGTCCTTGTGAAATTAACACCTGCTGAATTCTTCTTTCACACTAACTATAACAAAATTAAACAAACACTTATCATCGGATTCAAAATGTACATTCATTTTTCTTTAAAAAAATATATACTTTTAGAGGGATTAGAAGTATATTACAATCTCTACAGCCTTTCTTGTGCACCCACCCCTCTGCCATTTTTGTAAAGGGAAATTAATTTGGGCCAAGTCTGTCAAAAATCATGGGCCTTTAAAGAGTTAATCAACTCATGCCAAGTCGTTAGGTAAACTAAAATAGTAAACGCATGGGCATTATGTTAAATACTTTGGAGACAATGGAAGCTTACACAGAAAGAAAATGTCCCAGGATAACATAAAATATATTTATTTTTTGTTTTGTAATGTTTGAAAACTTATAAATCGAAGTGGCCTGTCTGTTCAAGTAACTGAGCGACGTTTAACCCCACTGTGATCGCAGAAG